AAAACAAAAATTTATCGAAAATTTTTCATAAAACGAAAATTTATCGAAAATTTTCTATAAAACGAAAATTTATCGAAAATTTGTTATGAAACGAAAATTTGTCGAAAGTTTTATTTAGAACAAAAATTTATCGAAAGTTTTTTTATAAAACTAAAATTTATCTAATTTTTCTATAAAACGAAAATTTTCTATTAAAATTTATCGAAAAATTTCTATTACAATTTATGAAATATTTACTATTAAAATTTATTAAAAATTTTATATCAAAAAAAAAAATTATAATCAATTTTCTATAAAAAAATAATTTATCGAACATTTTTCTATTTAATGAACATTTATAGAAAGTTTTCTATTAAACGAAAATTTTTTCATCAAAGTATTCTATAAAACGAAAATTCGTCAAATATTTTCTATAAAACGAAAATTTGTCGAAAATTTGTTATAAAGGGAAAATTTATTAAAAATTTTCTATAAAAATTTCTCGAAATTTTCTATAAAACATAAATTTATCAAAAATTTTCTATAGGAAGGAAAATTTATCGAAAATTCCCATAAAGAGAAAATTTATCGAAAATATTCATCGACATTTTTATACCCCCCACCACCATCAGTGATTATAGAGGGTATATATAAGTTTGTCGTTCCGTACGTTCGTGTAACCCTAAGAAAAATTCATCTAAGACCCAACAAAGTATATAATCTGGGTCTTTATGAAATTCTGAGTCTATTTAGCTATGTCCGTCTGGCTGTCTGTCTGTGTAAAACACGCTCACGTTAAACATAAGCAAAGGAAATTATCCAAATTCACCCAAAATATTTATTATTATCCTAAGCAGTTTGGTATTGAAAACCAGCAAAATCGATTCCCAAAGTAAAAAGTTATGAGTAAAAATTTCAGACTACCTCGAAAAAATTACGTTTTTTCCCTAATTCTTAAGAAGTTTTCTCAGAAACTACCAAAGATAATTCGATGAATTTTGTCACACATTATTTTTTTCAAGACAGTGATCAATTATGTTGAAAATTTTTACAATCGATCCAATATTTTCTATAGCCCCATACAAAGGTATGTATATATTCCCGGAAATTAGTTTATCATTAATAAATCCCTCAAAAATATCGGTATCAACTCAAAATTTTGTACATGCAAATATAATATCAACGTAGCTCTAAATCGGTCCACAATTGGTCATTGCTCCCATATAAGGTCCACTTCCGAAAATCACCTAAACGCACATATTTTATTGATAAATAAAACTAATTCGAGTTAAATACGTCTTGTGTACATACAATCCAATTTTTTACGGATAGGTACATTATTGGTCATAGCTCCCATATAACGCCCACTTGCGAAAATCACTTAAAAGCATATTTATATTTCATTGACAAATAAAGCTATGTTGATAAAATTATGTTTTGTGTACATATAAATCATTCTAGCAATTTTTTTACGGATTAGTCCATTATTGGTCATAGCTCCCATATAAGGCCCTCTTCCGAAAATCACTTAAACGCACATATTTCATTTCAAGTCTTGATTAAATTCGACACAAGTATATGAATCACTCTACGAAATTTTTTGCGGATAGGCTCCCATATAAGGTCCACATACGAAAATCACTTGATCGCATATATTTGATGGAATAATAAAGCTATCGGGATAAAGTACGACTTGAATATGTTTTTTGAGCATATAAATCATTCTACCAAATTTTTTCCGGATCGGTCCATATTTGGTAATAGCTCTTATATAAGGTCCACTTCAAAAAATCACTTAAACGCACATATTTCATTATCAAATAAAGATATCTTGATAAAATTCGACACAAATATGTTTTGTGTACATATGAATCACTCTACAAAATTTTTCCGAATTAATTAATAAATCTATTGGAGTAAAATTTGGCTTTAATTTTTTTTGCGTATAAATTTTTTCCTTATCGGTCGATAATTTTTCACAACTCCCATATAAAGACCATTTCCAAAAATTACTTAAATGCACATTGACAATCAAAGTTATCGGGACAAATGTGTATTTTGTATATATAAATCATTCTACGGATTTTTCCGGATTTGTACATAACTGTTTTAGCTTCCATATAACTTTTTACTTCTGAAAATCACTTAATACAACTTAGTTCGTTATTAAATGATTATATCCGGATAAAATTCGACATGAGTATGTTCTGTGTATAGATAAATAAATCATTATATTAAAATGTTTTCGAACTGGCCTATTTATATAAACTTTTCTGGACCTAATCAATATTAGTTTGACATATGCATAACTGCACTCTAACTTGTTTTTTATAAAATTATAATTGGACTTCTATCACTTTATTGCCCACGGTACTGTTTGTTGTATCTTCCATGTTTGTGGTAAAATGTCATTATAGTCACGTAAGTTATTGTTGTTGGATTTATTCCATTTTTATACATTTTGGTGGACTCTTATGTTTGCTCATGTAAAACCAGTATGTAATCACGAAGTTTTTATTTTTTGTTCTTCAATTTTTTTAAAAAGAGATACCAAAAGAAAAACGTGAAAATATACAGAGAAAATTATTTTATGTATCGATAGTTTGTGGCATGTATTATTTGTCCACCAAACCATCTAATATCCATGTAAGGCCAGTCAGTCGGCTGGTAATCGTGTATAGTGATGTAAAATACAGGAATGTTTCGTATTCAGTTCAAGAAAGCAACAAGTTATTTACATTGTTAAACTACATAACGAACTAACTACAAATAATCGTCGAAATAAAATACACAGAACTAAAACAAAAAAAACAAAAACAAATGTTTGAATAAAATATTTTTGTTTAAAAAAGTATAGACGATGAGACGGACGCACCCATATATCTTGTGTACGACATTATAATCAGGCCCATATAAAGTTAAAAATATACAAAACGTGATTCTAATTCTAATTGAAAAGTATGTGGTGAACGTACTCATTAAGAAGAGTTCAAAACACTCGTACTTTGTAGGAGAAATAAATAGAGAAATTATGTTCAAATTTAACGGCCTAATAAAAATGAGGCTATTTAAAACATAATTGTTGTATTAAGTAGATAGTATCTTTAAAAGATCCGCAATTTATATTTCCAGACGCATGGCGAGCGATCGATTGAGTTATAATAATTTAGTAAATCTGGGAAAAGTATTATATTTTTAAAATTCAATTATATTTATATGTAAATTTCATTAAAACTGTAGAATTTTCTGAAAATTTGCTCTAAATAGACAAGTTTTAAAAATTTTCTCTATAAAAGGTTTCATATAAACAGAGAATTTTTTAAATTTTATATAAGACAATTTAAAGAAAAAATAAAAAAATTTCAAAATATTTCTATAAATCGAAAATTTTCTATAAAAAAATAATTTATAAATTATTTACGATAAAACGAAAATTTGCTATAAATTAAAACAAAAAATTAAATTTTTTTTCCAAAATTTTCTGTAAACAGAATTATTTATGTAAATTTTTATATAAACAAATAATTTATTAAATTTTGCATGAATCGAATTTTTTTTAAATCGAAATTTATCAAAAATTTACTATAAATCAGGAATTTATCAAAAATTTCTATGAATCGAAAATTTAAGAAAAATTTTAAGAATCAAGAATTTTTCGAAAATGTTTTTTTAAATTCTAAATTTTCTATAAAACAAAAACTTTCTGGGAATAAAGAATTTTTTAAGATTTTCTATTTATAGAAAATTTATTTAAATTTTTGAATATATCGATAAATTCCTTCACAGAAACAAAAAAAATATATTGTAATATCGAATTGATCCCACATATTATTAATAAGAGCTAGAATGGGGAATCGATGGATCCGTACTTGAATAAAGTATGTGGTACTTGATTTAAGAACAACCTTACTTCTGACACCGCTTCGGATTGATTTGGGTACTGATTACTTAATTTATTGTTTGAGTGTAGAGTTAACATTAATCAAATATGTATTCCAAAGGTCATGGGAAGTCATTCTGTGAAGTTCTACATTTACCCGGTAGATGGCGTTAAATTTGAGAGGATTTTAGCAATGTAAGTAAAAATTAATCGAAATTATCTGAGAAATATTTTCAGGAATTTAACCAATTAATACAAAATGGGTATTTACTAGCTATACATATGTACATATTATTGAAAAATTTTGCCTGAAATGGAATCCAAATAAAAATATTTATTTTTAGTCATACTTAGGAAATACCTTTACTGAGACAGCTGAATTAGTGACTATCAATATAATCTAAATAAATGTCTGTACTTTTTTTCCACGAAAACCTATCTAAATATAAAAATAAATAAAAAAAACGTGACTGACATGATTCATACACAAAAATATGTATGACGCCACAAAATTCAAAACACCAGCATCCTTTTCAAAATGCGTCTTAGTTATGTATGTATATCTGAATTAAAATTAAAAAAAAATTAAACACCTTCACATAGAAAAAAACAGTGGAATGAAACAAACTCTCATAGATTAGAATTAACCACCATATTTCAAACCTTCCACAAAAATAAACAGCTAATACCAATGTTATAAAAAGTGGTAACTACGCAACGAAATGGCCACGTAAAAGAACCAAGAAAAACAAATTGATGACGTTGTGTTGTTAAGGAAGCTAGAATTCCACCAAAAAGGTAAGGTTCAAACAACAATACCATAATATATTGTACTTGTATAGCCAACAAAAATAGTGTTAAACATGCTGATACTTGCACCACTACCTACCCCGATTCGACCTAACAGCTAGTAGTCCCAAACGAACGTAAGAAATACAATAAAACACCACCAACAAAGGCCAAGCGGAGAGAGACCTAGGAGAGGTTTAGACAAGGGCAATAAAGAGAAAAACACTCAATTCCATAAGATAGACCAAGAGCTGCTTGCCTGCTAGCTACAGCAGCAAAAAAGAGAGTGAGTTTTGCAAAACCGGCCATAACTGACGCCATTAAAATACCACAACAACTCTGAAACGTCAGTACAGGCTTGACATTTGAGTGTTTTGCTTTGGTTTGTGTTAAGAAAGATAAGCAAAACACAAATAAGAAAAATAAATTAAAAACAAAATCGGTAAAAAGTTTGTAAAAGTTGTGTGGTGTTTTTGGTTGAAAACCTGTCAAATTTAAACAAAAAAAAAGTTCAATTTCCACCAAAAAAAATATGTGGCATAAACTGTTCTTACAATGTGTGCTGCTAAGTGCCGCCTTAAGCTCTGTCATGGCCATCAATTGTTACGTATGCGATGCCTCTGATACCAATAATCCATTTCAGTGTGGCGAATGGTTCGAACGTTTCGATGACCCCGACTTACAGCCACAGAACTGTTCGAATGTTCACGATGCCAAGTTCTGTATTAAACATGTGGGACGTTTCGAAGGTGGCATTGGAGCGAAAAGATTCTGTTCGTCCAAAGATTTAGGCAACTATTGTGATTATGTGCGTAATAAAGGTGATCGTATGGATTATAGATCTTGTATATATACTTGTAATACGGATGGATGTAATGGTGCGTCTAGTTTACATCTTACACAACTACTTCTGCCATCAGTAGTAGGTGTGGTTGCGGTCTTAGCCGTAATGAGGTTGAAAAACTTGTGGTGAGAGAGAAGCAGAGTTGTTAAAGAGTGTATTCGTTGAAATTGTAGATTTGTTTAAGACATTGTAAGAAATTTGTCTATAAATCGGGAATTTATCGAAAGTTTATATACATATATATCGAGATTTTTCAAAACATTTTTATCAAAAATTGTCTACGGAAATTTTTTTCAAATTGAAAATTTATCGAAAATAATCTACAAATCCGAGAATTTATTGAAAATCTCCTATAAATCGAGAATTTAACGAAAATGTTCTATAAATCGAGAATTTATCGAAAATTTTCTACAAGTCAAGAATTTATTAAAATATTTTTATAAATCGAGAATTTAAGAAAAATTTTCTATAAATTAAGAATTTATTGGAAATTTTCTATAAATCGAGAATTTATTGGAAATTATCTATAAATCGAAAATTTTTCATAAATCGTGAATTTTCTACAATTCGAGAATTTAGGTTATATTCAGGAATAATTCGTGAAATTATTGAAAATATTCTATAAATCGAGAATTTTTCCAAATCCTTTTTATTGAAAATTTTTTTTAAATTGAGAAATTTTAAAAAATGTTCTATAAATAAAGAATTTATCGGAAATTTTCTATATAATGAGATTTTATCGAAAATTCACTATAAATCGGGAACTTTTATAAAAAAATTTCTATTAATATGTAGAGATTTGTTGAAATTGTTCAAATAGAGAATTTATAGAAAATTACCTGCGATTCGAAAGTTTGTTGGAAATTTTCTATAAATTGAGAAATTTTCCAAAAATCGTAGTATTTTGTTTATAGAATTGTTCGACAATTGATTTGTAAATAGATTTAAAAATTAAAATCGAGTGTTTTTAAAAAAATTATTCTTAGTAGAAAATGAACAGTTTTTCGAAAATATTAAAAATATTGAAAAGATTTTAGGAAATTTTTCGACTTGTAGGGAAATATCGAAATACAAATTTTATAAAAAGTAATCTAAAATAATTTTTTGATTAAATTCAATCTTAATAATGAATACATTCTTTAAAATCCAACTTTAGTATTGCATCACACAATAATATTTTTTTCTAAACTAAAACTTTGTTTTGAATTGGGACACGAATAGTAACACAATAACAATGATTCGAATAAAATGTTCTATTCAAGTACTGTTTTTTTTCTACAAAAATAGCTTTACTTAATTAGTTAATAAGTGCCTTTAATATTAATATTTGAAACTAGTAAATAATAACTATGTATACACAAATATTTTACTATATTTTTTGTTAAATAAATTTTACTTAAAAAAAACTTACAATTGTTTTTGTTTTCAATTATATTTTCTTTGTTTACTCAAGCTTCTTTCAAGGTGTTGTCAGTTTATTGTCTAATTCAAAAAGAGAGAGATAATATATAGAGAAAGAAAAAGTTAGTATTAAATTAATATGGCAACTCTATCGGCGAGAGTTGTTACTTAAATCTCTTTTGCCTCTAGATTTGAAATCTTTTACAAACCCCACTTAAATTGCTTATTTAAGAGTTAGAGAAGAACTGTGTAATCTTTAATATTTTCCATTGATTTATGACCTTTTCATTTACAGATTATTATTTTTTCTTACACATTTTTGTTTATTCTTTAATTGTGCAACATTTTGAAATTATTTTTTTTTAAATCATGTATTTACACATACATGTAATCTTAAAAATTTAAACAGAGTTTAGAATTTATTTGTATTTGTTTTAGGAAAATTTCTCTTTGAAGAAGGTTATTGTCTTCGTGTAATTTAAAAGGTTAAAGACCTGTGTAGAGAATGCTGATATGACAGAGTTTTGAAAAATTTTAATTTGTTTTCTATTACATTTAACAAACAAATAAAGGTTCTTTCTATTTTTATTTAGATGTTTTGATTCAAGAAAATATTTTTTGTAAATGTGAAAAATGGAAACCCGTCGATGATTAGTTAAAATGTTCCTGTGAAAAATTTATGCTAAATGATTCGAACAAACGAATGTAGTCTTTGTAATGCTGTGCGATGATGGTTGTCACTTTAGTGTTCACAGGTAATGCAGAGAAAATACAGTCGCCACATTACTGTCCCCTAGTAATCTAGAAACCCAGATCTGAAAGTTTGATCTGTTCATACGTTACTTATTCTTGGATTTCAAGAGTTTAAAAGAATAGCTAAACTTCTGTGAACGAATTGAAGTGATCGATCTACTAGGAATTTTTTGTCCGATCTTTCGTAGCTACGATAGCGATCAAAAATAAGAAGAACAAGTAAGAAGTTATAGTCGGGCGAGGCCGACCATATAATAACCTACACCTGTATACGAATAAAATGTAATTCAGTTTTCATAATAAAGCATTTAAGTTGAATTGTACCTTGCCTCAGATATACATAAGCCATTTATTGTTTAATAAAACTGTGGATATTTAAGTAAAATTTTGATGGGGGCTTTTTATAGGGGCTAGGGTCAAATGAGGCCCTAGAATTATAAAGTTCATCAGGGTCATCAAGGCTAGTATAGAACTTGGTTTTGCAGTTTTTTGTCGAGGTACGAGTATATTAAACATAGTTATGAACTTATAAGCCCTATTTGGCGGGTTCAGTTGTATGGGACCTAGGTGAAATAATGGACCGATGTAACTATTTTCAATAGGACTCGTCTACAGTACCATAAAAGATCATGTGCCAAACATTAGATTATCTCCAAAATTGCGACCTCTAGTTTGATTACAAGGCTTATAAGCTCTATTCGGGGGTTCAGTTGTAAGGGGGCTAGGTGAAATAATGGACCGATGTTAACCATTTTCAATAGGCTTTGTCCCTGTGGCAATAGAATATAATGTACCAAATTTCATTGAATTATCTTCAAAATTGCGACCTGTAGTCTCATTACAAGGTTTACATGGACGGACGGACAGACGGACGGACATAGCTTAATAGACTCAGAAAATGATTCTGAGCCGATTGGTATACTTTAAGCTCTATTCGGGGGTTCAGTTGTAAGGGGGCTAGGTGAAATAATGGACCGATGTTAACCATTTTCAATAGGCTTCGTCCCTGGGGCAATAGAATATAATGTACCAAATTTCATTGAATTATCTTCAAAATTGCGACCTGTAGTCTGATTATAAGGTTTACATGGACGGACGGACATAGCTCAGAAAATGATTCTGAGCCGATTGGTATACTTTAAGATGGGTATAGGACAAATATTATTGTGCGTTACAAACATCAGCACAAACCCAATATACCCTCCCCACTAAAGTGGTGTAGGGTATAACAAGGTAATTATACTTGTAAGACCTTCAGCTTTTGAAGTTGATCGTAATGACTTCGACAAATTACACTTCAAAGATTTTCCTTTTTGATCATTTTAATGTGTATCTTTTGTTTTTTATTTCTGAACAATGGTGGAGGTAATGAACTGTTCATTCGCTACTTATTCTAGGGCCTCAAAGGTTATAAATAGAAAACAACTTGAACTACCACTTTGTCATAAAATTTTATTGGCAATTTCATGTCCGATCGTTCTTAGCAGCAGTACCAATCAAACTCAAGGTAATTGTACTAGTAATATCTTCGGCTTTTGATGTTGATCGTAATCCTAAAGGCATCAAATTGAACTTCGGAGTTTTTACTATTTCTCTTAATTTTTGTTTGATCTACTGAGTGATTTCTTGCGACCGTTCATTAATAATTTAATAAGAAATTTTGACTTAATGTGATACGATGCACTGATTTCAGGCTTTTATTTTCGCAATTAATATTTCAAATTTGCACATTTGGGATTTGTGTTCTAGTTTTCCATTGTATTTTTTTTTAATCCAACCCTAGTTGAAATTGACATAAATTTCAATTATGTCTGCTTATTTCATTAGTCTATTATCTTTACACAAAGTACATTTAAATATCAATTAAAACCACCAACAAACATAATTATAGCGATCCGAAACCTAGACAAATTGAAACTGAAAAAACAACTTTCAAAAAAATATTCAATTGAAAAAAAAAATCATGAGCTAAAAAATCTAACTATGTATGTCACATTCTAATGAAGCAAAACATTCGAGTTCAATTTATATCTCCATTAAAGCAAATAAATTTTACAAAGATCTATAACAACTATAAATATCTACACAAAACATAAATTAAAGAAGAAGCTTAAATAAATTTAGAGAAGAAAATGAAACAAAAACTGAACCTAAAATATAGGCTCATATTATAGCCCCAAATGGGAATTGGAGTACGAGTGGAAGTAAATGTATAATGCGATCACTAGTTAAAATTATTACAGCAATAAAATTTGTTTAATGAATGTCACATCATGTATTTATTTCTATATAGCTGCTGCTGTCAGTTTATAGTAGTAGTAGTATGAGATGTCGATAAAAAGAGATCGTTTTACATGATCGAATTTAGATTGACATACATTAAATTTTTTTTCCGAATATGACAGACAGACAAGTTAACGTTGAATTGTGGGAAGCTTTATAAAAACCGATACAATACTTGTATGTACTCTACTATTATACAAAAAAAAAAACATCAAAAACAAGAAACAATTGAACATTTAAAGTAAAATTGTAATCAACTAACTATTGCAAAAATATATGGATGTGTGTAGTATTTTCATTGAAAATTAAATTAATTGAAAAATTACAATAGATTTGTTGTTATTTCTATGAAAGAAAATGTTGTTACTATTAATGTGTGTTGGTAAAACTTAAGGAAAATTATTTCAAAATAATGTATTTTAAATGTTTGATTTTCCAAATGAGTGCAGCTATTTATCTAAAAGTATATGAATGCTTTAGTTACTTACTTACCAAAACGATTAACAATTTTTTAACAAAATGTGGGGACACTTGCAACTAACGAATACATTTTTCTATAAATTACCCGACAAATTATTAATACTGAAATAAGAAAAAAATACCGATAACGCTAAAATACAAATACCGAAATAAGCCTTAATGTCGATAACACAAAAATTCAGTTATCGAAATAAGACAAAATAACGATAGCCTATAGTCTAGTCTATAGTCTAGTCTATAGTCTAGTCTATAGTCTAGTCTATAGTCTAGTCTATAGTCTAGTCTATAGTCTAGTCTATAGTCTAATCTATAGTCTAGTCTATAGTCTAGTCTATAGTCTAGTCTATAGTCTAGTCTATAGTCTAGTCTATAGTCTAGTCTATAGTCTAGTCTATAGTCTAGTCTATAGTCTAGTCTATAGTCTAGTCTATATTCTAGTCTATAGTCTAGTCTATAGTCTAGTCTATAGTCTAGTCTATAGTCTAGTCTATAGTCTAGTCTATAGTCTAGTCTATAGTCTAGTCTAGTCTATAGTCTAGTCTATAGTCTAGTCTATAGTCTAGTCTATAGTCTAGTTTATAGTCTAGTCTATAGTCTAGTCTATAGTCTAGTTTATAGTCTAGTCTATAGTCTAGTCTATAGTCTAGTCTATAGTCTAGTCTATAGTCTAGTCTATAGTCTAGTCTATAGTCTAGTCTAGTCTAGTCTATAGTCTAGTCTATAGTCTAGTCTATAGTCTAGTCTATAGTCTAGTCTATAGTCTAGTCTATATAGTCTATAGTCTATAGTCTAGTCTATAGTGTAGTCTATAGTCTAGTCTATAGTCTAGTCTATAGTCTAAGTCTAGTCTATAGTCTAGTCTATAGTCTAGTCTATAGTCTAGTCTATAGTCTAGTATCTATAGTCTAGTCTATAGTCTAGTCTATAGATAGTCTAGTCTATAGTCTAGTCTATAGTCTAGTCTATAGTCTAGTCTATAGTCTAGTCTATAGTCTAGTCTATAGTCTAGTCTATAGTCTAGTCTATAGTCTAGTCTATAGTCTAGTCTATAGTCTAGTCTATAGTCTAGTCTATAGTGTCTAGTGATAGTCTAGTCTATAGTCTAGTCTATAGTCTAGTCTATAGTCTAGTCTATAGTCTAGTCTATAGTCTAGTCTATAGTCTAGTCTATAGTCTAGTCTCTAGTATAGTCTATAGTCTAGTCTATAGTCTAGTCTATAGTCTAGTCTATAGTCTAGTCTATAGTCTAGTCTATAGTCTAGTCTATAGTCTAGTCTATAGTCTAGTCTATAGTCTAGTCTATAGTCTAGTCTATAGTCTAGTCTATAGTCTAGTCTATAGTCTAGTCTATAGTCTAGTCTATAGTCTAGTCTATAGTCTAGTCTATAGTCTAGTCTATAGTCTAGTCTATAGTCTAGTCTATAGTCTAGTCTATAGTCTAGTCTATAGTCTAGTCTATAGTCTAGTCTATAGTCTAGTCTATAG